ATACAGAATTCCAGCCACCTACAATCTAAACAGAACTACACCAGGCATATAATAATCAAGATTCCAGAAATCCAATATAAGAACAGCATATTAAAAGCTGTCAGAGACAGAGACACAGATATCTTACAAGGAAACACCCAGACAGAGAAACAGATATCTTACAAGGAAACACACATCAGAATTACAGCAGACTTCTCGGCACAAACCATCAAATCTCAAAGAGTGTGGGGTGAAATAATCCAAGCCTTGAAAGATAGTAACCTCCAGCCAAGATTGATATAGCCTACACAAATGTCCCTGAAATTAATGGAGAAACAAGGTGCTTCCAAGATAAAGAGGAACTGGAGGGATTCACAACCACCAATCCAACTCTACAGAGAATACTGCAGGACATTCTGAAGAGAGAGGATTCCAGAAACAGTGGCAGAGAGGCCACAATGAATGCAGCAGAAAGCAAAGTAAAGAAGACAAACAGACTACTAATGGCAAAAAAAGAGCTCAACAGAAATGAGGCAAAGAAGGTTGGATATAACTTCTAATATAGATGGCCTAGATACACTAACTTAAGGGAAAAAAGAGAGAATTGCAGGCAGAGTGCATCAAGAGGTAGGGTCTTCCAAGAGGCTCTTTATAGGAAGTATAATTAGCTTGAAGAAGGTTATATGGACCAAAATCAAACATGAGAAAACGGAACTTGATGTGATAGGGAACCAGAGAGTAATAGGGGTAACTAGACCAGTATTTATGGATAGGTTGAACAGACAGACTTTAATAAATGAAGAAATATAACTAGAAATCCAGCCCAAGAGTGAGAAAGTTCAGAAACACTTAGGTAAATAACAGGTTCCCCCCCCCCCCCCATACAAAACCGTGAGTGTTGAGGAGACCCAAAAATACACAGTTAATTCTGGGGGAATAAAGAGGAGGAATAGTTTTCAAAAAAAAAAAAAAAAAAAAAAAAACAACAACAAAAAACAGCAGAAGATATAGCTAGTAGTGTATCAGGAATTAAAACCCCTATTACTCTCACCACTCTGTTTGGTTGGAACTTGTTCCATCCTAGTTTGTATACAAGCACTGGATCTGAGGGCACAGACAGCTGTCCCAAAGATATCAGAACATAGCACAGTGGTCATCTTTAATTTCCTATTAGCTCAATCAAGATCCCTGTATGACTTATATTGTTGTATCATGACTGATCTTAGTTAAACCTGACTTGTTTGATTTCTGCTTATATTGACAGATTTTATTCAAAACTGTTAGGTTGCTGGTATCAACTTGAGGAGTATAGAAAACTATACTGAAAATGACAGTGATTCACCATGATATCCATTCTGATTTGATTACTACCTGTTTTTGTAGCTCTGCACTATCTACAAAGTTGTATTTCTGTTAATCCTGTTATGTACTGATATGTTCAATTATACTTTATCTGATGATATAGCCAATTCTGTTGATGATAACAAGAGACAGCACAGTGACCATGGTAGAACTCCTTATACAGCAGATTTATATGTCTTTTTAGTTTTATGTGTCTATAGGAAAAAGTTTAGTTCTGTCCTTCTTTGTTCTGTTTCTCCCTCTAATATAAAAAGGATAGAAATACATGTTAAGACTCATGCTTGCATAAAACCTATAAACAGTTTATGAGAACTGATTTTATGACACATGATGAAATGAACAAACTTTGAAGGAAAGAAAGGGGCACTGCGATACCCAGTGCTGACTCCGGAGTGTTATGATGTGAAATTCAGCAATATTATTAATCTTTGTTCAGAAGGATTTTAATGTACTAAGCTTTGTTAGGTCTCAACATAAATGAAGATATGGATAAATGTGTACATGTCTAAGTGTATAGGAACGATAGCCATAATACTTGCTTTTGGATAGTTGAACAGAACTGTTGCAGTCTCCCTGGTTGAATTCCCATTTATATGTTCCACTTGTGTATCTTGAACAACTATTTGTGGGGGGACAATATATATACATCAACTAGTGATTTATTACTGTTTATTTCTTTTTTTGGAAAGTATGTACTATTCCTGCCCATTTTCTATTTTGTTTTGTCTTTCTTTAAATTAAAAAAAGTATAAACTTTAAGTTTATATATTGTGATATATAAGTGATGCATCCTATATGATTTAAGACATTAACTGTATTTTCTTAGTTTGAGCCATAAAATTTTATAACAAAAATCAGGAACTAAGCCAATGTTTTTGGTCTAATCACTTTTATGTCAAAAGAAATGCTAGCCAAAAAAATAAGTATTGAGAGGTATTAAAAGTTATAGACCTCTCCAAGGCTGCATAAAATACAGAAAGAAATCTTGCTAGAAAACCCAAGAGAATAACTTAAAACTGCATCATAATTGAGAATTGTTGAACTAAGACCTGGATGCAAAGAAAATACAAAAAGCAATAAAGTGGCTAGTGACTGTAGCTCAGAGGAAAAGAATTTGCCTAACCTGTAAAGGCACTGGGTTCAATCCCCAGCACTGAAAAACAAAGAAAACAGCACAAGCAGTAAGTTGACTCAATCAGCAGTAGCTAATTTGAAGTCTTAATGGAGGAGAAACGGGATTTTGTTAGGAAGCAACAACAAACGTAAAATATATTAAAAAGCACCCTCAAAATTTCATGGAACTTACATAAAGAAAGTGGCAAATTAGTACTGTGGAAGAATTGGGAAGACGAACAAGCAAATAGAAAAGACAAGATCTGCAATAGAAACTCAGGTGTATAAAACAATTACCTAAAAATGAACTTTTCAATAAAAATGGTGGCAGCATTGGAGACCAAGAAGAAAATGCACGACTTTCATAAATCCCAAATAGATAAATGATTAAAAGATTAATTTCTTTTTTTAAAATTTTATTTAAGGATAAAAAGAAAAAAAAACAGAAAAAGAGTACAAGTTATACAGAATTTCAGAAAAAAATAAACAGTAGGAAATCACTAGTTAATGGATTACATATTATCATCTTAGAAATATTTGTGCAAGTTACAAAATTAAAGCATATAAAGTGGACATTCAAACAGTGAGATTGCAAACAGTTCTGTTCAATGATCCAACAAAACTCAGTAATATCATTGTCTATCTTATACACTTAAATATACATGCAGTTATATCGTTTAGAGCAAAAAGATTAATTTCTAAAATATCAAAGGTTGAATATTTGTCAAAAGATTTTTAAAAAAGAAAGAAGTTGTCAAAGGGATCACACAGAAGGGAAGATTGTGGCGATGCCTTGCCATGGGCTTAGTATGCCACTGTGAAACCCAGAAGGAACAGGCGAGCACACTTTCAGCCAGGGAAGGGACCCGGGAGGACGAGAAACAGGTACCAAAGGGACCCTGAGATTTCACTGTAAGCCAGTGCTGTCTTTTTTATTTTCGCAGTATATCTTTTTCTTTTTTGCTTTGGGTTTTGATTTTGGCTTTTGTTTTGTTGTTGTTCTTTTGAGACAGGGTCTCACTATGTAGTTCAGGCTGCTCTTGAACTCATTATGTGGCCAATACTGGCCTCAAACATGCAGCGATCTTCCTGCCTTTGCCCCTCAGAGCCGGGGTTACAGGCCAGCGCCACTCTGCCCAGCTAGTGCTATATCTTTGCATTACCTTTTCAATCAATAAATAATTTAAACAATTTAAATTTCCAATGTAAAAAAAGAAAAATGGTGACAACACAAAAAGTTGATAATTTGACTATCTAAAATCTTACTGTGTCAATCAATAGCAGCAAACTGTTAAAATAAAACTCAAACACATGCAGACATATTAGCAACCCAAATGTCAAATGATAACTTACTAACCTTAATTGAAAAAAAGATACTGCACCAAAGAGGATCAAAAAGAAAATAAAGTCATCTAAGGGAAGAAAAAAGTAGATGTAAGACATAGTCACAATTCTCAAAAGAGGAATTACAACTGGCCAGTGAACAGGTGAAAGTAATCTCACTTTGGTTCAAGGAAATTTCTACATAAAGTAGCAATTAGATATTGTTTTTTACTAGTCAACTTAGCAAACATTTAAAATACTGTGTTCTTTCAAAGACCCAAAGGTGAAATCATGCTTTCACACAGATGGCCATTATAAAAATTAGTAAGACCTTTCTGAAACAATATGTCATGTGCCTTAAAAATATCCCTTTCCTTTATCTCAGAAATTTCCTCTTCTGGAGAATCTAGGCCACAAGCAACCTGATTTACAGAGAAATTCATGCACATGATGTTTAATGGCCCATATACGCTAGCAGTTAATAAAAAATGTTAAGAGCCAAGAAATTGCAGGAGGACAGAAAAACTCCATCACTTCCCCTCTCTAATTGTATGTGAAGATGTAAGGATCTAACATTTTGCTATTCTGTTTCCCGTTTTGCGAGTCACTGATGTGGAGTTCACAGACCTATTTTCCAAATTACAGTGATAGGCCTTTGGTTTTCACATTTACATATTTTTAGATGGTATAATATTTCTCAGTGAGAATGATGAAGTATTAAGGGAGAATTAAAATAGAGCATGGAGGCAAATTTGATTGGAGAAAGCCAAATTTTAGTTAAATAGAGAGAAACAAAATGATATGTGCTAGTGTCTCCCAAAGGAGAGAGAAAATGAGGGGACATTGGAAAATCATTTGTAAGACTTCACAAATGTTACTGAAACATTAGACTAAATGGTAACCCTTCACTAGTGTGGATTTAGAAACTAAAGTGACCTTAAGGTTAAACTCACTGCTAGTGCATAATTCAACTTTGAACTCTCTTTGCTCTCTCCTGTTGGTGATGTTATAAACTTGCTCCACTTTAGTATGTTTGCAAATCTTCCTCTTCTACAAGATTACTGTTTCCAAGGAAGAAAGCTTTATTGTTTTGGGCTCTGCAACTTCAACCCATCACACACTGCATGGCGTACCTGTTTTCTAAATGATTCAGCTAGTGTTTCATCCTTTGAAGGATAACTTTCCAGAGCATTATTTAACATGAAGGTTCTCTTTCCAAATAGGATTACCAAACCAATAACAACGACCAGGCTGTGGTTGAAATCTGTATCACAAGAATCACAACAGCCATCAGAGAGACAGAATCCATTGAAAAGCATGCCAAGGCCCTTGTGGGGCTCTGGGACTCCTGCTTGGAACACAACCTAAGACCCTCTGGCAAAGACGAAGACACTCCTCATGCAAAAATTGCATCTGATATCATGAGTTGCATTTTACAGGTAGGCCAGCTTTCAGCAGCAAGCAACTTGATACATGGTTGGTAGCTCACTGAACACGTGATGTCTCTGAACTAAGAGCCAATTTTCCTGCACCATTTAGATACTGTAAAGAGAAACTGTAAACTATCAGTGTCTAAGCCAGCAGGCTGATAATTAATAAATTGATAATGTTCTATTAAGCCCCTTTTTTGCATAGGACACCCTATAGGGAATTCAAAGTAATTCTTTAGCAAGCCCCTAGTCTATTTGGAGAATACGAAAAGCAAATGATAAGGTATTGTGTGCCAATATGCAAAGGAGAAAAACCGGAGTAAAGAGGAGACCTGGTTCATCCAAGGAGGTCAAAGAGAAAGCATAGATGGAAATGAGTTTGGGATATGTGGAAGGAAGTGACTAGTCATTTTAAAGTGAATTTCAGTGTGTCCTGTGAATTCTTTATGGCGATATTTCCCTATTCTGGCCACATTTAATTCCTTCCTCTAGTGTAAGTGAAAATTTGAAATTTTGCCTCCCCCAGGAGGCAGTTGTATAACACTGAAACACCGGGTAAGTCACTTACCTCCGAAAGCACAATTTTCCCCGCTGTCAAATGTAGATTATCTATGATAAATTTTACCAACTAGTGATGGTGATAGGTATTTCTTAAAAAGAATGCTGTGGTCAGGTAAATGGGGGAACACTGAATGCAGTGTTTCCCTTTTGCGCTGTCATATTTCATAGCATATTAAAGACTTTGAAAAATATTTTAAAAATAAAGACTTGAAAGGTCCTTTGAGTTGAAAAAAAAAACTAGTTAACTTTGTTTAATCTAGCATTTCGCATTCTGATTTGACCATAGAACTCCTCTCCTGAAAAACATTTCGGAACCTCTTTCATTCACACTAAGTTTCACTGAGTATAATTCATGAAATTCTGGCTGAGCTGTCTAATGGCTTAGCACTATGTATAGCACAGTATTAGCTTCCTTTCTTCTTTTTCCCTCACAGTTATTTATGCTTAACTGGAGCATATTCTGCTCAATCTACTTGGTTGTAGGGCTAGTAAACTCAACGAAAAATTACATACATCACCACGCTGTTCTGTTCTTGTCACCAGTGTTAGGAGTGAGTGGGAAAGCAGTAGGGATTTTGGTTAACTGATCAAAGATTACTGGTTACTGCTGCTTGGATGAAGTACCAAAGACCTCGTACATCTATTCCTCATAGGTTACCTTAAATATATTACTGCCATGTAACCAAAATATAAATCATTTCACCCCAAAGAGCCATTCCACAGTCACTGAGACAGATACGTGTTCACAAATGACCCAGCTCCCTCACAGGTTCAAAACCAGTGCTCCAGAGTTTAAGCAGCACTACCCAATAGAAATCCAGTGTAAGCCACAAACACGAGCTGTGTGTTTAATTTTAAATTTTCAATTAGCCATCTTATAAAGTCAAAACCATGAAACTGATTTTGATAATCTACTATTCTTAACTTACTATTTGCAAAATACTATCATTGCAACATGCAGTCAATGTAACAATGAGATCATTTATATTCTTCACTGCTATCTTTAAAATTTGAATTGTTTCAGGTTTTTTTTTTTTTTTTTTGTCTTTTTCCTTTTTTTTTTTTATCGGTACCGGGGATCAAACTCACGACTGCCTGCTTGCAAGGCAGGTGCTTATGCCGCTGAGCTAAATCTCCAGCTCCTGAAATTTGAATTGTTTCAGCATATCTTAAGTTTTATTCCACATCTTCGTCTTAGCTGTTACATTTCAAGTGCTTGTGAACTTCTGAGGAGTTAGTGATTCCTCTTTCAGCCCAGTTCTGGAGCAAGCAAGGTTTTCTAGACAGAGATTATATTTGTAAAGGTTTGAGCAATGAGCAGGAATTTTGCCAGCCAGACAAGGTAGAACAAGGGAACATTCTAAGCACAAAACTAACTCATGCATTAGTATAGATATGTGAAATAGGATCAAAGTAAAAAAAAAAAAAATAAGCATGCTCCCTTTCCAAAATGTCTACAGTTTCAACATAAAGGAATGTTTTATTCTGCGTAAGGTATTACATCTCCTAAGTGAAAGGGAGAATTAAAGAAAATGCTTTTATGAAATAGAAGCAGTAAACATACTGTCAGTATAAATAAGCCTATGAGATTATTGAAAGAAGGGTCAAGAAGTCAAGGGTTGAGATTTTGGGAGGAGGAAAGGGAAAAGAGCAGAGGGACAGGCCTCTTTGTTGAGAGAAAAAAGTAAGTCATGGCAGTGGGTGACTCCAGCCTCCAGGCCCCACATGGGAGTGGGGTTCCCATCCTGTGCCCACAGAAGGAGGCAGAAGCTGCTGGGGAGCACAGCTGGAAGCTCCCAAGGCGACAGGGCCTTTCAGTACGGCTCCTCAGGGATACACGTCCAGGGTGTCCGCCAGGCCATGGTGGTGATCGCAGAATTTGCATTCAGCTTTCATCACATTCTGAGGGGAACTTTCTGCCTACAGGAAACAGTGAAATAATTTCTACCACTACTGATTTAAAGTTTTGTTGGAATGATTCAGAAATCCAAATAACTCATTGTTTGTTCCTTGTTCAGTAAATAAAACAGCAGGCCAGCTTTCAAAAGTTTTTTAGCTTGTAAAAAATGAAAAATAAAAAATTGAAGAATAATGTCTCATCCATCCCACCCCACTTCCTAAGATATGCAGACCAGAATCATAACGTAATAATATCTAGATAAGCACCTACCCACTTCCTGTTTGCACACTCTCAGGCATTTAATTAGATTTTTTTAAAATGATGATTTCATTGTCATTTTAAGATAACTGTGTAGGCACACACACACTTTTCTATCTTCTTTTCCTCAAATGTTTTTCCTCCAGTTTCTTCACACAAACCTGCTTCAGATATCTATTGTTATACCACTTTTATTTTTTAGTTTTTAAATTTTATTTTGAAAGTAGTAAAAATACAACAGAACAAGACAGAACAAAGCCAATCGACACAAGGCAGTGAAATTGGTACAGAACTTCACAGTAGGATACTGGGATGGTAGTAATAGGTACTATGGTATATCTCATTATCTTCACAATAGTTGTCCAGTCAATTAGGTATAGCGAAATCAAACCAAAAACAGAACATTATAAAACCAATTGAGAGTACTGAATACAGCAAAAGAAACATAACAAAACAAAACAGTGAAAACAACCTTTGCCTTCAAACAGAAGATAGAAGGAAATCCCCCATATTTGCTATATTGCATATAGTCATCCTCCCAAGAGATGCTGAGACATCTATCCCCAGTGAGGGGGGGGGTGAATTTCAGCCCATGTGCCGGTAAGCTCACGGGAGCCCTGGTTCTCCTTCTGGCCCGTGCTGGAGGCACTTACCAAGAGGGTGGAAGAATAAGCTGCATAAGTCCCACCATGGCCAGATCTCAGGAGCTGCTGGTTCTCGCTATGCCTCTTTTAATTGACAATATATCAAATCCCTTCTTTTCTCAGTATTTAAATGTATGAACTTGTCACTTTTATCTTAAAATCACTTTTAAAATTGCAGAATTGCCTTCTCCTCTTTCCTCAGTACAGAATCAGTATAAGTATACAGAATACGTTCCTAAGTTCCAGTTTCCTGGTGATTTCTCGCTCTGTTCTGCTTAGGGCCATATGCTTCTACCAACCCATCATGTGTCCAAAGATAAATTCCTCAGCTTTCTCTGTGTAAAACAAATAATCAAGTCAGATCACCTCCCATCTTCCTGTTTGAAATTCTGATTCTCTTGGGAGCTGCTAAGAGTTAGAACAGCAAAGAACTTTAGAGCTTAAAGCCCCCAGAGTCTTAGGAATCTTGTTCTTATATAGACAAGGCACTGGCATGTGATTTCCTTTTTCTGAGTTGCTGTTCTGCCATCTGTAAAACAGGAGCAGCAATACTTACCTCCCAAAACTGCTGTGAGGATTAAAGGTGATAAGACACAGAAAATGTTCACACAGCACAAATTGCTACATAAAATGTATAACAGGTGCTCAAATAATAGTCATCAAATGATGGAGTGAATGGTCTTAGAAGAGGTGACTTCCCTCGCAGCTACACTTCTCTCCCATGAAGGCTTGAGAAATTAGTCGTCAGACAGTGGCATGAAATGGGCGGTGGCCAGGACAATGCCCCCACCTTCAGCTTCCTGACACCTGCTTCCCTGTTACCTGTCAGAAAATCCACTGGGAAAATACAGGTGCACAAGCCAAAGAGATTTTATAATTAGCTATGCAACAAGAATTAAACACTCTTAATGTAAATCCAAAATTAGTTTGATTGACTGGTGATGCTGGATGAATAACCAAAGAACCCCATTTTAATAAATGAAGTTTAGTATTTCTCGATCTTAATCATTTTATACCTCTTTTATTGCATTCAAGACTTGAAAACCAAAGAGCTTTTGAGTTGCTAGTCACCTCAGATAGCTATCTCTTCCACTTCGCTTTGTTCTTTTCATTTCTAAAACACTGGGAAACATTCCCAAAGTGCATTTTTCAAAAGGGAAGTCTCCAGCAAAAGTTTAAACTAGTGCTAATCTGGTTAGAAATATAAGTCTTGGCATCCATAGGACAAGGTCTTCTTGTTTTACCTCTATAGCTAAATATAGCTGTCCCTGAGAGCAAGGCCTTATGTCCATACTGCACTGCACTCAATGTGCTCCCTGAGCGCTGAACTATGTGTAAGATGATATTCACCCCAGCGTGCTCACATCTGAGCTGAGGGGCCAGGTCTGGCACAGGCTCTGGCATTATCAGCTGCTGTTAAAGTGGTTTATTTGTAAGTCTGTGGCAACAGGACTCCCTTTGTCTGTGTTCCATTAGCATTTCTGTGATCCAAATAATGTTAGAGATAAAATAATTTCATGAGCCTAAAATCTACCGCATTAGCAACTTCTTTAGCTGCCTTTGAGGGCAAAGTACAGCCAGTAGAAGTTGTTGTTCTGTTAGGTCCATGAAAGCCTCGTCTCTGGAGTCTCTTCTTGGCATCCCAGCCTCTGAGCTCACATCCTGTTGCCTTCAGCGATGCCCACAGCCTCATGATATGCCAGGAACTGTCTGACACTGTTGGGACGCTGAAAGCGTTTGGTGCTGATTCCCTCATGTTTATATAAAGTAATTTCTCTTGGCCTGATATTTCACTTTTTGTGTCACTTGAGAGAATTTCAAATGACATATTTGGGAGGAAAACAGAAAAAACGAGTGTGTAAAAGTTTGTTTTTAAAAATAATGACATTATACATTTGAGGGAGGGAATTTTATACATTTCTCTTGCAACTATACTTCAGAGACTTTAATAGCTGATGGCTATTTTTCTTCAGAATATCTAGAATTATTCTAAAAAGAATGTAATTTAATTAGTACAGTCAGCCTTTCATTGTTCTTTCATTCTTGCTGGCAATCACTGACGCATCCCAAGGTTTAAACACATCAATTGCTTGGGAATGCTGATTTCCATTGATCTGTTACTGTGTTTGTCTATGCTTGGTTAGTAGGGTACACTTCTTCAGCAAGTTATAGCTAAATGTTCTTGGAGACATATTCCTCTAATGGAAGACATGTATTTCTGTCTGCAACTTGTTCTTGGCAAGAGACCCACAGTAGATAGGGTAAACTTGGGCAGGGAGTTCTTTGTTGGAAAGTTTTGAAAACAATTGTGTGATTATGCTCCACCCTCAAAGCTAGGGCTTTCATCAGTCATTATAGATATAAACTCTGCCAGGCATGGTGGTCCATGACTGTAACCGTAACTACTCAGGAGCCTGAAACAGATGGATTGAAAGTTTGAGAGCAGCCTGAGCAACATAGTAAGACCCTGTCTCAAAATTTAAAGCAAAACAAACAAACAAACAAAAAAAACCAGGACGTGGCTTGGTGGTAGAGCACTTGCTATTACCCACAAGGCCCTGGGTTCAACACTCTATACCAGAAAAAAAAAATAGTTAAACTGTCAAAAATCTACCTGTAATGGAAAAACTAACTGGCCATAGGAGCAACCCAAAGTGAAGCCTTATTTTTTTTTTATTTTAAAGATATCAAGACAGAAGAGGACATAACAAGCAGACCAGATTAGAACATGCAAGTAACACAGCATTTTACCACAAGACAACCCGTAATTAACAGTAACTACCATCATGTCTCTTTCTTTGAAATAGTTGAGCATAGCTTCATATACAATAGTATCAAGCATAACAGAACAGTATAATACCATTCAAGAGAATGAAAACATTACAGGGCTTTCAGAACCAAATAGCAGAGAATGAACAATGTGTACTATATTATCTCGTTTTCCATAGAAAATTTGTTTATATTGTCATGCATAATAATATCCAATAAGATATAACAGGATAGAACCAAAGGCAACAGAAAAACAAAAGCATAGTAGGACTTCAGAGTAAAACAACCTAAATGTAGCTTCAAGGGAGCAGAGATAGAATATAATTGAGAAAAATGGCCAGGTTAATTAGCCTGCTCACCACATCAAGTGTCTGAGGAGTGTGTTAACTAAAGGAGGAAGATATTATTTTTGCACATTTACTCAGCACTGCTGGAGAAGGCTGTAGAGGTTGAATTTGATGAGTGGAAAGTTCTGGTCACTAGAGATGGAGATGCAGTTGCAGAACAGGACTGTTATTTTAATCACCACAGTCCTGATGCGATATTCTTCAGTCTTTCTTTGTTCTGATGATTGTGTGCCCATCAATGAACACTCTGGTTTCTAGCTTGACTTCTTGGTACCCTGATGATGTGAAAAGGATGCCCAAGGTCTGACTTGGAAAAGCCCCCTGACTTTGAATGAACACATTGGCGTAACTGTAATGCACCAGACTTTTGGAAATTCTTTGACCTGAGTTAGTCTCCAGAGAGCCAAACGGTTCTGTGTATGACCAGGCACATGTCCAGTTTCCTGGGAGAGGGGAGGAACCAGCCTCCTAGGAAAGCCTCGTAGCTCATCACATCTGTAATAGCCTACCCAGTTAAGTCCAATTTAATTTAGCATGAGGGAAGACAATCTCACAAAGGCTTTCAGAGAAGTCATCAGGTAAGTCTGATTGTAGTGTAGTCCTAATAATTGGTGTTAAGAATTTTAAGATGTATAAAACAGAGATCCACTGAATAGAACTACAGTACAGACATGATTTGTCACCAAGAATAGGCTTGGAACTTTCAAAATGGTTGACTTAAGTCATCAATAGTGGGATATAAATTTAAGTTGTAGAATATCTATTTTTTCCTCCTAGGATGAAGCTCAAATGATATTACCAAGACCTGGACCTGATTTCTCTAAACTGGTCTCTCAGATCCATGTTTCTTTGAGTTTCTTATAAGCTCTTGTCTACTAAGTCATATGATGACAGCATCTATTCTTAATCCAAATGCTGTGATCTCTTCTTGTTATGGCTAAATAATATTCTCTCTTGTGTATTATGGCACATTTTCTTCATCCATTCATCCTCAGTTGATCATAAAAAAAAAAACACTGCAGTTTTTAAAATACAGTTAGCATGCAATGCATGTCACATTCCATTCTTCTGGTTATTTTTGCAAGTGTGAGTCTGATGAATTGTTCCTCTCCTCAATGACTCCTGATTGCCCTTAAGATTAATTCCAAAGTCCTTGACCTAGCATACCGGACCCTTCATAATCATGCCTCTATGTCCTTCTCCTCCCCATCCTCTCACCTCCCCACTCCAGTGTCCCCTCACAGACCACGCTGCAGCATAATAAGCTCTTTTCAACAGCCCAAATCCTGCAAGTGCTCCCTCACCTCTGCGTCTCCACACTGGTTCTTCCTCTCCACTCCTTACACTGGTATGGCCCAGCCATCGCCTTTTCATTCCTTAAATCTCAGGTAAGACACTGCCTCCTCCAGGAAGTCTTTCTTGGTGCTGCCGACTGGATTAGATGCTTCCTGACTCCTTAGCACCTTGCACTTTGCCTATCATGGTCCTTATCACTTATGCTTTCAACTGCCGATTTGCCTTTAAGTCTGCCAAGCAAGACCAAGCGTTCCCAGACAAGGTTTGCAGGGCAGAATCTGTGTTTTCACAGCTATATTCTGGAAACTTAGTTCGGTAAATGTTTTTGGAGAAATGAGTAAGTGAGTGAATAATGGATCACTTATTTGTTGCTTTTTTGTACTTCTTCAGAATTATAACCGGCCCCCTGTGATGGTGTTAGCCATCCCCATCGCAGTGAAATTCCTCCACCGGGGCAACAAGGAGCTGTGCAGGAATATGTCTAACTACCTGTCCCTGGCTGCAATCACCAAGGCGGACCTCCTCGCCGATCACACAGAAGTTATAGTAAAGAGCATACTGCAAGGTACAGTGCACAGGCTGAGCCCGGGAACATGTTTTAAGAGTTGTTTGAAAATGTTTTCATGGAACATACTTGATTTGTAGAAAGTGCGATCTAAAGTATCGAGGGGCAGGCTTGATACTCTGCTTGGTTACCAGTTGGCTTGTGGACAGAGATAAGGTCAGCTGGGCTGGGTGAGTCGATGTCCCTTCACTTGGCCACTGAAGGATTTGGACTCACGAACTGTAAGCTTTTTCCACCTCTCCATTTCTCACTCTGAGAACTGTGTCTCCCATGCTTCTGGTCATCTTGTCCATCTGCCATCTGTGGAGAAGTTGTCATGGTACCAAGTACAACAGGTCCTGCAGCTGTCAGGGTTAGAGCTGTTCTTCTTTTGGTAATCTATAAGAAAAAAAAAAAAAAGGAAACATGCAAAGACTTTTAAATGTGAATATCATTAGAGACTGACTTATAAGTACATTAAATAGTGCTATCACAAAAAAATGAAATCAGGACATCTCTGTTAATTGTTTCAGTATTTGAATGAAACAGAAGATCAATTTATTTATTTGCTTTTTGTCCTTTTGAGACAGGGTCTCACTGTACAGTTCAGCCTGGCCTTGGGCTCTCTCTGAAGCCGGGATTGGTCTTAAACTTGCAACAATCCTCCTGCCTCAGCCTCCGAGTGCTGGAATTACAGGAGTGCACCACCATGCCCAGCTCAAGAAGGTCAATTTAGCCCACATAAAATATTTATCTTGTCTTCTTTTTTCTTCCTTTGGTTCATCTATCAGGAACCATACTTTTTGGTTTTTGAGTCAGAGAATAATATATAGTTCTTTATGATAAACATCCAAATTTCCTCCATCCTTATTAATAAAAATGTGTGAGATCCACAAGTGGTTTAGCCCATGTTTTACTGACACAAGCTTCCACATGTAAACTATTTGCAGCTGAAGCATTTCTTGGAATCCCTAAGTGTGTCGTACTTGTGCTACCTTCCTGAGGAATCACAACAGTCCGAGGCCCATGCTGCTATCCTGCCCATGTTTCTGGGTACAGTATACTATGGCAAGGTCCTGCTCCACCACCCTGAACTCTGAGGCTGCCATGGAGTTTCCAGAAGTGGACTCTACTTCTAGAGAAAGCAGGCTGCCCTGCCAGGGTGGCAGCCTCCAAACCTTTGTGTTGATTCACCCAAAACATGAGAGATCACCAGTCTTTAGGCCATATGGTCACCAGCAGCAGGAGAGAATGAGTCTTTCTCTGCCGTATTATTGCTGAGTAGAGCGGTCCCAGAGCTGCTTGTTTATTTCCCAGTGCCAAACTGTGCCACCATTTGCAGTTAAATAGATGGTTCTGTTCAACCTAGAGGTCTTTTTCCAGCTATCCACTCAGGAGTCAGGATTACCAACAAATTAGTCCTCCTGTTCTCAAAGTGCCTATTTCCTGCCAAAGAATAAGGTGTTTAATTTATTCCTAATTTGAGCTCATTTTAACAGACATTCCTAAGGAGGGTTCTTAGAACCACCCACCCAAACTTCTAACGGCCTCTCTATCTGATGCCCTCATATATCTGAACAATAGCTCAGTGATCAAGTTTATCCCTCAACCTGTGCTCCCCTATAAGTATATGTCATTAATAATACCAGTCAGTATTTTCATTTCTAATTTCCTTTGGCTATATGATTCTATTACTAATTTTATCTTATATGTGCTATTAAATTTGCTAAAAGTACAAGAAAGCAATTGATGTTTTTATACCACCTGGTAAGGATTTTTGGGACAAATTTTAGAGAAATTAGAAATCATGATAGTCAAACTTCTAAATAATAGATTTATGAAAAAAATTGACATATCTTTATAGTTGCCAGCAACTTAATTCATCAATTTGGATTTTTTAAAAAATGCTTTTTCAGTGACAAAGAAATTTCTGAGATACAAAACACACTTTCTAAATTCACTGTTAGCATTTCATATAAACAAATCATTTGCTTTATTTGATCTAGAACTATGAAAATTACCATAAAATAAATGATAATTTGACCTATAAAAAGTCGGGACTGCATATTTTAAGGTTCAGAGTTTTAAGACAGATATGACCGTAAAACCCCAGGGTTTTGCTGTCTCCTACTAGTCAATTTGCTGCAAAATCTCAGTCTTATATACCCTGCTAAAAGCTTTAAGAGGCATCATTAAGATTTCCTTTTATTACTTTTTCTCACATTTACACCTTCTTTATTGACATGTAGTATCCTAAACTTTATTCTCTTATATTTATTTTTTTTCTTTCATTATTAGTGCCTATTAATTTTTCAAAATATTGGTTTCAAAGCATATATATTTTGGTCATATGCATTCGTCCATCCCCTTCTTACCCACTCCTCTTTATTTTCTCTCTCTTGTCTAATAGTCTTCCTTACTTTCTTGTCATTACAAGATTCTGCATATTAGGGAAAATATGCAATAGTTTTCTGAGTCTGGCTTATTTCACTCCACATGAGGATCTTTGCTTCCATCTTTTTTCCTACAAATGACAAAATTTCATTCTTATTTACTGCCAAATAATGTCCCACTGTTTGTATACCACATGTTCTTTATCCATTCATCTGTCCATGGACACCTAGGTTGGTTCCCTATCTTGGAGGGTCTAAATTGTGCCACAAGGAACGTGAGTGTGCACATACCCCAGTACTACTCTTTAATTGCTTTGGGTGCATAGCAAGAAGCAGTATAGCTGGATCAAATGGTAGCTCTATTTTTAGTGCTCTGAAGAGCCTTCATATTGATTTCCATAGTAGCTGTACTAATTTACATTCCCACTAGCAGTGTGGAAGTATTCTGTTTCCCCCACATCCATACCAGCATTTACTATTTTTTGTATTATTGATGATAGCCATTTTGGCCAGGCTGAGATGGAATCTCAGTGTAGTTTTGATTAACATTTCTCTAGTGGCTAAAGATGTTGAACATTTTTTCATATACTTATTTGCTTTCTGTACTTCTGGTAAGTGTCTATTCAATTCATTGCATCATTTATTGAGTAGGCAATTTTATTTTATTTTAAATTTTTATTTTAAAGTGGGTAAAACTAAACACAACGAAACAGAACAAAACAGAACATAAAGCAATGTAAGAGATATAAATTTCAAAGCTAGATGACCTGAGATCTTCACTATTACATTGTCTTTTGTTTTCTTCCAAATAGTTGTCCATGTCTTCACATACAGAGAAATCATACAAAATAACATAGTATAAAACTGATCCGAACAGAATGAGGAAGGCATTTCAAAACCAGACAATAGGGAAGTCACTAATGGCTGTCATAGAGTCTCTCATTCTCTTCAAAATAGCAATCCATACCTTCGTGTATATTGAAGTTCAACAAAGCAAAACAGGTGTGTGTAGGGGAGGGCTTGCTTGGTTTCCTGCGCTCCAGGTCCCAGCTTGCATGGGTCCCAGTAAACACTGCTGGCTCCTGTCCCGGGCCACCAGAGCCTGCCACACTCACAGCCACTCACCATGAGGGGAGGGGTTGCTTCAAGCTGTTTCTTTCTAATGAATGACCGTTTCACTGCCCAAGTTCTGAAATGGCCAACATAGAAAGACATCTCTTTAGGCTCCTGCTTGAAACCATCAGGGTCAGGAAGCTGTTGGCCTTGATTCAGGGCCAAAATTTTATTTATTTATTTATTTATTTAAATTTTTATTTATTTATTTATTTAAACTCGCAAATATTAATTTTTGAGTGCTGTATATATTCTAGATGTTAACCCTCTGTTGTAATAGTAGCTGGAGAACATTTTCTCTTTTTTTCTAGGTTGTCTCTTCACCGCGTTGTTTCCCTTACTGTGCAGAAATTTTTTAATTTGATGTAGTCCTCATTTATTGATTCTTGCTATTGTTACCTATACTGATGGGTTCTTATTCAGGAACTTTTTGCCTGTGCCCATATCGTCAAGTATTTTCCTTATGTTTGATTTTAGCAGCTTCAAAGATTCAGGTTATATACCTTGGTATTTGATAACTTTTAATTAAACTTTGTAGAAGATTAGAGACAGGAGGGGCTGGGGATTTAGCTCAACGGCAAAAGCACCCGTCTTGCAAGCAGGCGGTTGTGAGTTCGATCCCTGGTACCGATAAAAAGTTAAAAAAAAGAAAGAAAAGAAGAGACAGGGATTTTCAATCTTCTGGAAGGATATCAGTTTCCTCAGCACCTTTTGTTAAAGAGGCTGTCTTTTCTCCATTATATATTTGTGGCACCTTCGTTCAGAATTAGGAGGCTGTTATTTGCATGGGTTTTCTCCTCCTGTGTCCTGTATTCTGTTATGTTGACTTGCATGTCTATTTTTGCATCAGTACCGTGCTGTTTTTTGTTACTGTGGCTTTAAAACATACTTCAGAATTTGGTAGAATTTTTAGAATCATCGAAGTATAAAATTATGTCATCTGCAAGCAAAGATAATTTGACTTCTTCCTTTCCTATTTGTACATGTTTTATTTTTTCTCTTGCTTAACTGCTCTAGCTAAAATTTCAAATGCTATACTGAATTAGAGTGGTAACAGAAGACATCCTTACCTTGTCTCTTGATTTTAAAAACAATGATTTCAGTTTTGCCCCATTCACAATGATGTTGACTGTGGGTTTGTCACATACAACCTTCAGGATATTGAGATGTGACCCCTTAGTATCTAGTTTCTTTGGGACTTTCATCATGAAGAGATGTTGAATTTTGTCAAAGTCTGTCTGACTCCATTGAGATGATAATGTGATTTTTATCTTTGATTCTGTTTATGTGATGCATTATGTTTATTGATTTGTATGTGTTGAAGCATTCATGGAAACCTGAAATGCAACCAATTTGATCATGGTGTATGCTCTTTTTAAATGTGTTATTGAATTTGATTTGTGGGTATTTAATTAAGGATTTTTTACCTATGTTCATGGAGGATGTTGACCTACATTTTCCTTTACAGTTGTAGCCTTGTGCAGTTTTGGTATCAGGGTGATGCTGACCTCGTAGCATGAACTTGGGAAACTCCTTTCCTCTCTATTTCATGTAGTAATTTCAGTAGCACTGATGATACTTCTTTAAAGTGAACCCATCCTGGACTTTTCTTTGTTGAGAGACTTTTATTACTGCTTCAATCTCATTGATTGATACTGATCTGTTTGTTTTTATATCCTCTAGATTCAGTTTTGATGGATTATATAAATCTACAAATCAACTCATTTTTTTCTAAATTCTCCAATTTATTGGAATATAGATTTTCAAAATGATCTGTGCTAATTCTCTACATTTCAGTGGTGGCTGTTGTAACACTCACATTTTTATCTCTAATTGTATAGATTCAGATCTTCTCTCTTTTGGTTAGTTTGGATAAGGGCTTATTAATCTCATTTATCCTTTCGCAGAACAAACTTTTTGTTTCACTGATTTTATAGATTGTTCTTTAAGTGTCTATCTCCTTTATTTCAGCTCTGAGTCTTATTATTTCTTTCCTTTTGTTGGGTTTAATTTTGATTTGTTCTTGTTTTTCTAAGAAATTGAAATGTATTATAAAATCTCTTGTTTTTTTATGTAGGCATTTAAAGCCATAACCTTCTCTCTTAAAACTGCCTTTGCTGTATGTCAGAGATTTTGATATGTTATATTTTCATTTTCATTTGTCTAAGAATTTTTAAATTTCCCCTCTGAATTTTTTAATGACTCACTGATCACTCAAAAATGAATTGCTGGGCTGAGCATGGTGGTACATGCCTGTAATCCCAGCACTTGGAAGGCTGAGGCAGGAGGATCACTATGATTTTGAGGCCAGTCTGGGCTATAAAGTGAGTTCAAGGCCAAACTGAACTACATATGAAAACTGTCTCAAAAATATGAATTGTTCAATCTCCATGTGTTTTTATAGTTTCTCTTGTTGTTAATTTTTAGTTTCACTCCAGTTGATCTGATAAAATGAAAGAACTTATTTGTTTGATAATCATATCTATTAAGGCTTGTGTTGAAGCCTAAAATATTCTCTATTTTGGAGAATGTTCCAAGAGCCACTGAGAAAAATGTATATTTTGTAGTCATTGGATGGAATATTCTATAGACAGCTGCTTAGTTCATTTGATTTATGGTGGAGTTCGACTTTGATGTTTCTTTGCTGATGTTTTTTTCAGTCTGGATGACTATCTACTGTTGATAGCAGAGTATTGAAGTCACTCACACTTCCTGCATTGGGACCAATGTCTCTTTATGTCAAATAAGGTCTGCTTTGTGAAACTGGGTACATCAATGTTTAATGCACATATATTTACAATTATATTTCTTGATAGATTGATTATTTTATAATATGTAATTAGCTTCTTTGTCTCATATGACTTACTTTGTCTTGAAGTCTACTTTATCAGATGTAAGTATAGCTACTTCTGCTAGCTCTTGAGTTCGCCTCCCTTTCAGTCTGTGTGTCTTTGCTAGTGAAGAGTGTGTTTCATGAAAGCAGCAGAGCTGGATATTATTTTTAAAATCAATTGCCAAGTTATGTCTTTTAGTTGAAGAACTGCACATTCACAGTTATTTTTTAAAAGGTAGGCACTAGCTCCTATCATTTTGTTGTTTTTCAAGTGTTTTGATTCTTTCCTAATTCTCAGTGGTTTATCTATTCTTCCTCTTCTATGTTTTAAGATTTCTTTAGGTATCTTCTGTACTGCTGGCTTAGTGCTCATGAATTTTTAAAATTTATGCTTAACCTGGAAAGTATTTTTCTTTCAATTTTTAATGATGAAGATGTTTTTAGTAGATATAATAATCTAGGTTGGAAGTTATTGTCTTTTAAGGTTTGCAGTATATCATTGTACAACTCCTGGCCTTGAGAGTTTTTACGGGGAAGTCTGGAGTTAATTCTGGTGGGTTTATCTCTATGAGTCACTTGGCATTTCTTTCTTACAGCTTTTAGTGTTTTTCTCATGTTCTGTACCCCTTTCAAATATAATATGAGAAGGAGGATTCTTTTGTGGCTGCGCCTCCTATATCTAAATATCTCTGTCTTTCTTAAGTTTTAGAAAGTATTCTATTATTTTATTGAACAGATTTTCTATCTCATTATTCTTAATGTCAGCACCCTCTTTGTCTTGGTTACTTTTCTGTCATTGTTGAGACAAAATACATGACACACAACATCAAGGAAGGAAAAGTTTATTTCTTATAGTTTCTGAGGTTTCAGTCATACTCTGCTGGCTCCAAGACAGGGTACTGTGACAAAGGGGCAGCTGTTCATGGTGACTGCAAACAGCAAGAGCGAACAAGAAAAAAGAGAGAGAGAAAACACATCTTCTTCCCTCCCTTGTAGTGTATGCTGGCTCCACCCCTGGGCAGGTGCAGCATTCAGACCACTAATCCCAGTGCTAGACAACAAACCAATCACCAACTCTAGATTCAGCTGTCTCCATGACTGCATGAGGCTTGGGAGGCCACCTACACAGAAACCATAACACTCTTCTACATTAAAAATTTGCTACTTTGGCTTTTTTTTAACCATGTCCCAAAATTCTTGGATATTTTGTTCAAAATTTCTTTTTTTTTTCCTTTATGAGCATCTGTGTGTAATAATTCTTCAATTTATCTTCAAGCCTAGAAATTCTCTCCTCTGTTTGATCTTGTCTACTCATGAAGATTTCTACAGAATGCTTTTATTCAACTTGTTTCCCTTTTCATTTTTGAGAGTTCTATTTTGTTCTTCAGGATCACTCTCTTTGTGGAATTGTTCCTTTATATCCTGCACTGTCTTCCTAAATTTATTAAACTACTTATTTGTGCCATATTTTAAGTTGTTAGTCATTTTAAAAACCAGTCTTATGAATTTTTTTGGTAGTTCACCACTTCAATATCTTTGTATTCAGTTACTAATGGTTATGAACATTTGGAGGAATCATGTTGCCTTATTTTTTCATATTTTCTGTTTTCTGTCCTGAGATTTGTGCATCTCTTAGGGATGAATGCATCTTCCACTTTTATTTGAAGGTCTTGTTAGTGTCCCACCTTCTTCCTAAGACTTGATCTTGGACTAGGGATATAGCTCATGGCACAGCACCTGCATGGCAAGCACAAGGTCCTGAGTTTGATTCCTGATACCAAAAAAAAAAAAAAAAAAGCTTGATCCCCAGCACCACTCAGAGAGGCAAAAACAAGTTACATTAATGACAGTGACACAAACACAAACCAGATATTCACGTACAGTAAAAATAAACAAATGAAAGCAATGACAGTATCACCATTTACAATAGAAAACAAACCAACTTGGCACTGTGTCTCATGCCTGTAATCCCAGCACTCAGTAGACAGAGGCAGGTGGATCCCAGTGAATTCAAATCCAGCCTGAACTACATAATGAGTTCAAGGTCAGCCTGGAATACATCGTGAGATCCTGTCTCTTATAAACAAAAGAAAAAGAAAATAAAAATCAGTAATAACATAAATTAAAAGACTAAAAATTAATAAAAGTTAAAAGTAATAATACAATTAAAGTGTGAAGAAAGGGAAAATGAAAGAAGTACAATTTTTAAAAAGAAAAATAAGATGAAAAGGAGAAATAAGTGAGACAAAAATCCAATTAAAGAATAAAGATGTAAATAAAATGAGACAAAAGTAACAGAAAAGCAATAAGGAAAAGAAAAAAAAATGGGGAAATGAGATATGAGTCCAAAACATTTTTTTTTTTTTTTTTTTTTGTCTTTTTCCTTTTTATCGGTACCAGGGATCGAACTCACGACTGCCTGCTTGTAAGGCAGGCACTTATGCCACTGAACTAAATCTTCAGCCCCAAGTCCAAAACATTTTCTACCATAAAGTATTGCTGTGGGCAAAATTTCTTTCTAGGACCTGTAGTGCAGTCTTGGAATCTACCAGAAATGGGAGAGGGATAGCCAGTAGTATCTGGAGCCTGGTCTGCTTTCCCACCCACTTAACCATCTGTTGTGCAAATGCTGAGTCCTGTCTAGCTTTTTCTCTTGGGTAGATCCCAGGGTTTTGGTGTTTGTGTCCTGCTGTGCACCCTGAGTCACTGTGTCTTTCGCTAGATTGGTGGCCTGTAAGCTCATAGGGCACCCTACTTGTTCCTGAGGCCCCTCTGTTCATACGCCCCAGGAAATGGTAAACATCCAAGCAGGAATGTATCCCTGATCAAGTTGGTGTGTAGGTAAGTGAGCAGACCAATGAGTTCTGTAGGGTGGAGGTAGCCAGAGAAACCAAGTGATGCCCTGGGCTCCACCCCAGTGCACCCCAGACCGAACCTCCTCAGAGAACTAAAGACAATGGGCCTCCTCACCACAGAGGGCATTGCTGCTGACCCTTGCTTGCTCCGCAGCCTGAGCTCCTGACTGCTTAAACTTCTCAAGGGGTCTGTGTCTAGTCTCCGCCCTCTCCATGACTGTCTCTCATGGCTGTCTTCCATCCAGTCGCTGTGGTAAGCTGTCTGCAGAGACCCTGGAATGTGGTTGTTCTGTAACTTCTGATACTCATAGTAGCCCCCTCTTGTTTATCCACTCCAAGACAAGTCTGGTGCTGCTGTAGATTTCCTCCACAAAGCTACTCAGCCATGTGGGAAGAGTCACTTTCAGAGTAAAACTCCACGCTGGATTTGCAGTTTACAATAACCATGGTGTTTTACTGGGGATTGTCCCTGTCTGGTCATTCTTCACTGGGACTGTGGGCCCTCTTGGGACTTGACTTTTGCCTGAGGAGGCAGATTCCACTTTATCCCACCTCTACCTTGAGAGTCTAGAATTAGCATTCCAGACCCTATCATTCCATTCTCTACGTTTTCTTTTTCTGTTTCTCTGTGACTTTTAGTTTTTCTCTTGGTTGTTTCTTGAATCCCAGAGCTCTTCTTTCCTTTCTCCCTACTAAGTAGCAGCTTTCTGGGTGTCTTGATTTCTGGTCCTGGTGAGGTTGTAATCTGTTTCTGGATTTTAATCCCCATCTAGATCTCTCCTCCCTTACTTCTTACCGAAAGCACTGAGTGGCCAGTCACTCGCTGTTAATCATTTTAATGAAAGTAATAAAAAGTATAATAAGCAATGCTTATGGCAGGCATTCTGTATTACATGTATCTACTGATATTCATTATATTATTTAATACCCACAAGAACCCTACAACAGAGGCTCCATCATTAACCTCATATTGCCATCAAATCTAAAAGCAGCCTCTTCTTCTGCTTTTCTGAATCAGTGGTCATAATAAGGAAATATGCCTCTATCAAAATGTCCTTTACATGGTCCTCTGTCACGAGTCATGAGATGACCTCAAATTTTTAAAAACCTAAGTAAAAAGTTTAAAAAGAAATTGTAAATCTGTCCAAGCAAGAGTAAAAATTCCTTTCTGATTTACTAGCAAAAATCTGGATAAGGTTGTCTAGTTAATTATGTTAAATATACTTCATTTTTTCCTCTAGGTGAGACAAAATTCAAACCATTGGTTTGTGAGCTATCTCAGAAAATGCAGATAAAAAATTGACTCCTCATTTTGAAGGCAACAATAATGTGTATTATGTGGGGTGGATGAGGGTTAAATAAATAAAGCATCTGTACTTTGCATAATGCCCAGTGATAGTTTAATCAATAACTACTAAGATTCTTCTATTTCTCATGATCATAGTCATTAGTAATTTAGCATCTTCCATGTACCAGGTCTATGTTAAAAGGTTGGAGGAAGATCTGTATCCATTCATACAATTTCGTAATACCTGGGGAGATGCTTAGTCAATAAAAATTCATGATACAATTATTCTGAAAGAATGAGGTTTTAAATTCACCCTATTTTGGGTAGTTAGAAAATAATTTATTAGTTGAGTATTCTAGGCAACAAGTTACTAAGCAATCTAATTGAGACTACTCATCCTGGTTGTTAATAAACAGGAAAATATTAAGTATAATGTTGTAAAATCAATCCAAATACAGATCACAGAGTAGAGACATATCTTGAAACAGAAAAGGGTCTCTTCTGTGGTCTGGTGTACGTTTGCGCCTTCCTGACTTCACCAGCAGATGTTGCTGTGAAGCAGAGGGAGCCCTGCGCACACACAGGTATCCACACAGATATTGGGGGTTGAGCTCTGAAAATGACTTACCCATCAGGTAAAGATATCTTAAGCTTCACTTCTCTGTATTTTTGTTGTTTTGTTTACCTGTTTTAATATATTGGGAACAACTTGGAAAAACATTTCCTAAGAGAATGATTTTACTTCAAATATTTTATAGTTTAGGAAGCATGTTTATGTATATTATTTGTTCAATAACCTTCTAATAAGGTAAGTCTTGTTAACTCTGACATCTTACAGTTAGCAAATTAGTAGGTATCAGCACCAGAGTTTAAACACTGCATTTCTGACCCAAAGGCCAACAGACTTCCTATTTTATTCTATCTTGGTCTAACTGAATGTAAGGGTCAGTAATATGAATTTTAATATTGATGGAATACAAGACTATAAAAATAAATATACATAACTTCTTTGACTAAAACTTTTAACTTTAGGAGTACTGTGTCTTAAGCAGCTAAAACATAATTCTAGAAATGTCTGATGTTAGTAAATTTAGCAAAGAAGAGCTTTCTAATATAAAATTTGATAAGTAAAACAAAATCATTATAATTTATTTTTTCTAGATCTAAGTCTTTGTTGCGGTGAAGTGAATTAAATATAAATTGTAAATACTATGCCAAACTCTATACATCTTATATTATAAACCAGGTGTGGTGGTGCACTGCTGTAATCCCAGCTCTTAGAAGGCTTGAGGCAGGAGGACTGCTGCAAATTTAAGACTAGCCTGAGCTACAAAGTGAGCTCAAGGCCAGCCTGAACTGCAAAGTGAGACCCTGTCTCAGGAAGACTCTCTCTATATATTCACTGCACACATTTTTCCTTTTAGTTACCTGGTCATCTTTTACTATGTCATTATCATGGCCAGGTGTACGCCTATAATCTCAGCAGTCCAGAGGCTGAGATAGGTGGATTGCTATAAGTTCAAGGACAGTCTGGGCTACACAGCTTGAACTGCATACAAAGCCTCGTCTCTAACCAAGAACAAAAATTCTATGGTGTATATATTATTAGTCAAATGCTTCAAATACATGTTAAAGAAACTAATTCTTAAAAGTTAATTTAAGTCAGGCATGGTGGTGCACACCTGTAAGCCCAGCACTCAGGAGGCTGAGGCAGGAGAATTGTTGCAAGTTCAAGACCAGCCTGGACTATAGAACTGCATAGCGAGACCCTGTCTCAAAAAGATACACACATGAAAATAAACAAACAAATAAATGCCAATTTAGATGGTAATAGATAAGGAAATACGTCAACTGTATTATGCTTATATATTATCTCTACAAAAAAGTTGTTCTATCAGACAAACGTACATACTAATGTGATCAAGTGTCTCAGTTCGCCTGGACTTAGGAATTATCAGGACATGGGAGCTTTGTAAGACTGAAACAGTCCCAGAAAGCCAGAACAGTTGATCTCACAAGTAATGGACTCCAAACAAGTAATATTCTTACGTCGACACATATATATATATAGATGGATGGATGTGTGTGTATTATATATTCATTACACACTATTTCCTTTTAATAACCTGGTCATCTTCTACCACAAGTGTACTATGATGAGTTATAGTGAGTCCCTCAGTAACATTCTGGTAAATGGAACTGTGGATCAACATGCTAACTAAGCTGGCATGCTATTTTTTGATGTTTTATCTGTTGTATAAATTTGTGACTTTTTCATTTGCTTAAAATGCATTAAGTGCTAATAGAAAAAAGTCAGCTATTTGATTTCCTAAGAACTTATAAAATGTATTTTCTGAGTATAGCCCATAAACATTTTGGAAACAGTAAAGCACATGGTCTTTTTAATTAAAAAATCACTTGGTTCATGTTTGTGACTTAATGTTTATAGCTCATGTTTATATCTACTGAGGTTCCTCAATAGAGCATGTCTTCAGTCTACTTATTCTCCCTTTCCCTCTCCTCACACCTTGCAATTTACCTCTTGGACTCCTTCCCCTTTACAGACATGAGCCATGATTAATGATATTAACAAGGATAAAAATGGGGAGAAAAAAATTATACAAATGGAGAGAAGGGAAGCAGACTAAAAAAAACAAACAAGCCATATTGACCTGTACTCACCTGAATTAACATGTACTCACCAAGATGACTGTAAACTGGATATACTATAAACATGTACAATAAAAAAAGGAAAAGTGAGAAAAAAAAATCACTCAGGGCAGGAGATATAGCTCAAGGGTACAGAGCTGCTTGCCTAGAATATCCAAGCCTTGGGTTTGATCCCCAGGACCATTAAAAAACCTATTCCACTGGATCAGAATTAAATTGTATGGTCAGTCAATAATGGATTAGAGAAAATAGAAATGTACTTTCTGTCATGTAAAAGACATCCAGGGCCAGGCAGCTATGAGCATACTAGGCAGTTTACAATTATCTGAAACCCTGGCTTCCTCTGCACTACATAAAATATGTTCGAGATGGTTGCTGAAATCCCAGCTACCATTTATGAAATTCTAATCATACAAAAAAGAAGGAATGAAAAGAAAATCACATACGGTATATTCAACCTAGTCATATGCCGACATCTACAAGTAATGCTCAAAAATATAATTTATTATAAGTGGCCATATATGCTACTAAAACTAGAATTCTGTTACTTAGGAAAAAAGTGAAGCGGATATTAAAGAACAAATCTTTGGAACACTTATCCAGATCTACTGCTGTAACAGATGAAATTTCTACTTATATAATTCAAACATTTCTTTTTTTTTCTGTTTTTCTTTTCCCTTAACATGCAATTGCTAGTTTTTAAAAAGTCAAGTTACCTTACATTTAATTTTACCAGCATGTGAGTTAACATTTATCTTGGCCACGACCTGATGGGATCTTTTACATAGACCTAATTCATACTGAAACATGTAAAGGAATAAAGTTTACATACTCTCATCTGAGAGCCCAAGTCATGTAGACAAAATACAGGGAATGAGGGAATTTGTATGTGACCAGTGTACCTGGAGCCTTTAATTATATAATTTCCAAAAGCCCGAAATGAGACTGTCAGCTCATTGCAGCTTCATAACTGCAAGAATTTCCTTAGAAACTCAACATTTGGCTTTATGAGATGAAGTGGTAGTGATACTCTGAGGATCTTTCAGAATTATTAGATTCACAAAATTTTATCATTCAAAAATACTAAGTGTCCAGCTCCCTCATTTTACTGTGACCCTGAAGAATTAGATAACTTACCTAAGTGCACTCAGCTGTTAGTTACAAAATTCCCCCGGCCCTATTCACCAAATCTCATGAGCTTCTGCTGTGGTGGTTGAAGCTCTGCTTTTTGGACATGTCATCACTGTCACTGTGGTTCTCCAGTGTTGGAGAAGCAATTATGCAATGCTTTTCTACCAGCCTCCCCTAGAATATACAGAGGAAAACACGGTTGCCATCAGGAGTTACCTCCCCATCTGCATGTGACGGGGTTGACTGTCCCTGCCTCTGGAGGAAGGTGAGTGTGCTCTGAGACAGGAGTTACTACAGCTCTTCCAAACTCATAGACCTCCCAACAGCAATCCTCAACCTTTGCTTGCAGGTATCACATGCCATCTGGGGAACTCACAACACATTTCAGGTTACAACAGTGCAGAAAAGTTTAAACTATCAGAACCATCAAATTAGAAGAGTTTTAGACTATTATTAGGAGTATTATTGTCTTCATTCCTTGATTTCTCAGTAGAGAAAACAAACCCAGGGAGAAGAATTTGACTTAGGCAAGACTTTACTTCTTGCTTATGATTTATAGGAGGCCACACTAAGGAGAACTCTGTGTTTGTTTCTAACAGTATTAACTGTGTGTATTTACACAATAAGTTAGTCTCTGAAAATGAATAGCCTACTTTAGGTGAAAAAGGAAAAGTGTGGATTTGCTTTAAAATATCTCTTAAAATTTACAATTAAATGACACAAGCTGATTTTATAAAACATTTTATTTACAGTAGAGCTTTACAAAAATAAAATTAATACAAACCGATTTTACAACATAACTTATACAACTATCAAAAACATTACATTTAATAATAATAGCACGTAAACTACCCTTATATTTGTAAGTCACTTTGTAGTATAAATACGCTTTCATCCTTTTTTATAATAAGGTCATACCAGTAAGAATGAACAATGGACAACAATCTTGTTTTTGATTCTTCCAACACAAAACTCATCTCTGGCCAAAACAAAATTACCCAAAGAAAAGTAAAACAATTGTCCTTCTGATCAAGAATACAGTCTTTTCTAATTATCTGAGTTTATCTGAGCAAAACACCGCATTCATCTGAAAGCACTATGGCATAAAATCTAGTAACAGTATCCCCAAAAGCTTTCTCCAGTGTTCTCCCTTTGACTGTTTATATAGTATTTTGCCAAGATAAAGATAGATCTCAACTCTCTCCTTCATTAGTCACAGTGTTCTTATTATGCATTGAGGTTTTCAGACTTTCCCCACTGGCATATATTTAAAATGTGAGTTTCTTTCTTTGGCTTCAAGTACGGTTTCACAACACTTACGAAACATATTGAGCTCCTCCATGTGGCTGAATTTCAGTGACCCCCCACCCAACAACATTTCCCCGGATGTGACAAGACTCTGCTCCTCCAGTCTCTTTTATCTCTTCCCTGCTGAGGACGTGATCCCAGATATTGAAGCCAGTGAGTCTTCCAGAAAAGGCTAATGTTTCATCAAAGCCCCCACCCACACAGCAGCCATTCTTTTCTTGGCCAATCTGCAGGATTCCTCCTTCAGGAACAACATGATTTGTGGCCATGTCCACTGCGGTAGCCACTAGTTCACTATGTGCCCACAGGGATGTGCGCCCTTTCTCTGAATTCCAGGTGCTACACAGGTGGGTCCACTTTCCCAGGGAAATCACAGTATCAGCAACCAGTTTGTTCTCCTCTCCACCCACCACAAATACTATGGACTGATAGCTGAGGTACAGCTGGATCTCATATGGATTCCTCTTTGTACCATAGGAAAACACAATGGTTTTGTTTAATGTATCTGTGGCTTTGACCCAGATACAGGCACTAAAAGACTCAAGCTTCATTGGTCTCACTGGGTGCACACTTCCAAAAATCTTCTTGGAACGCATTGGGAATAAAATCGCTGTTTCACAACCTGTAGTGGTTAAAAAAAGAAAAAGTAAGAATATCAGAAACAATATAAATTCATCTGGAATTTTTCTGGCATTTATTTTAACCTGAGCATATTAATAACTATACTGGATATTATATTAGCATGACATTTTGATTTAAAGGTCTTCTACTCTAATCTTTGCAGAGCAAAAGAAAATGAGAATAATTTTTTTAAGATTAAGCGTCTTAAGCAATGAAGCATCAGAATAGACAAATAGGTGTGCAAATAGAATGTCAAGAAAGTCACACTAGTTCAAACACACAAAATAATTTTTTAAAGAATGTTGAATAGCTACCTCTCCTCTCAGCGAGTTTACTTTTTTCTTTATTGCTTTTGTAAAATGTTGAGTCCCAATGAGTTAACTTTAGACAGTGACTCCATAATTTCCAGAGTTTATAGCACCTGTTTCCCCCTTCCTTCCTTCACCAGGTTCCTAGAATATTAAACCCGTGAAACTCAATGAACTCAGCCATTCAATGCAGCCATTACCATCAGGCTTCTTTATGCAAAATTCTCCAATAGTGATGTTTTTGGGGGAATACAGTTTAATGTGCTATATGTTCTTAGATGCTTATAAACTTGCAAAGTTTGTAAAACACTACTCTTTGAAAGACAACAATGTATAATGATAATTAATGCTTACTGGATACTTGTTATGTGCCAAATAGTGTTCTAAATCAATATATATATATATATATATATATATATATATATATATATTATGTTAACCCATCCTCATGTCATCCCTGAAAGGATATTTTATTTCCATTTTATAGATAAGAAAACTAAGGCAAAATAACTTGTCTGTGCTTCAATAGCTGATAGATAAGTTTTAGGAGTTTTCACTTGAGCAGTTTGATTGCAAGGCCACATCCCAGACTAGCACAGACTAGCATACACTGACTATTAACAGAATTCTTGGACATGGCTGGGGGGGGGGGCTAGGATTTTTTTTTTCCTTTCTGCTAATAAATACTGAATAGCTTTTGATAAGCTCCATAATCTACCTCTGCTTTACTATTGTACATAAAGGCCTTTCTGTTATGCAAAGTTTATGAGCAACAAGTATGTAGCACTCACAAAGAACTGGGTAGATCAGTATATGCTTAAAAATTCTTATTTGGTCCACATGCTTATAAACATTACTTAAGCAGTAACAGAAAATCTTTAAGAGAAGTGATTTCTTTCAAGTAGCCTGGTTGGAGAACATTTCTATTAAAGAGCACTTTAGAAAGTAGAGTGTTTCAAAACTTGATGTTGAGGACAGTGAACTCCCAACTCTGTCTATGTCAAAGCCACATGAGCAATCCAGAACTGTAGATGCTGAAGCAAAGGCCTTTTAGGTGTTTGGGGGAAATTACTAGGCCAAAATCTATAACAAGTGGGCTCTGTGTGTGTGTGTGTGTGTGTGTGTGTGTGTGTGTGTGTACTTTTATGTATCAAATTTTTAAAACTAATTTAGGCTTAGACTGTTAACTTTATGACAACATACAGGTAAGCCATAAGAACACTGAAAAACAAACTCAGCATTTAAACACTAACTGAAAAAAAAAAAACAACAAACAAACAAACACTAGCTGGTGAATAGGTAGAACTTGTAGGAATCAAACATCCATATGTAGTGCTGCAAACTACTAAACTCCTGCAAGTGGTTCCAAGCTAGGCTCTGTCCTGAAAACATTAAATGAATAAAAAGGTAAAGGGCTTTATCCTTTATCTTTAGTCAAGGAAAATACTGAGATTTGGAGAGTCAAATACAAGTAACTACAATATTAATGAACAAAACTGCTCTTGTTATTCTTGAAAATTTAACTTGTTCCCTGAAAAAGTTAATGCCAGTTTTTCTAATTCATTTTTCTGTGAAATTACAAAGTACACACCTTTTTCTAGGTGCATGAATAAAATAAAGATCATGGATTATGAGATTAATGTATCTGTGTGCATTTCAGATATTCTGGTCTCTTAAATTTCAGTAGTGCTCAAGAGGGTGTCTGCTGCACACTAATGAACAGACTTCCTGTTTCATTAAACCCCAGGCAGTCAGGATTGCATTCCAAAGCTCTCCCTGATAGTGTCTGGGAGACCCAACTTTCCTCTAGGCTGCACTCTCTGTACATACAAAAGGAGAACTGCATTTTGGCAGTATTCTGAGGGTTTCTTTTGGGGACCAGTGATTGAGGCCCTTGATACAGCTTTAAAATGTCAGAAACTCTCATGAAATGGCTTTTAACAAATAGATTTTTCTAATTATCAAAGACTAAACAAAATTAAAACCAGGTTCTTAGGCTGACAACAGAATGATTAGGAATCCCTTAGGAAGCAAGCTAGCAGGAGACCAAGAAAGGACAAATCAAAGCTAGTGGGTAAAAGTGTTGCTGCTTATAACAAGGATTAACATTTCTGAATTCAGTGATACATCTCTCCTCTGCTGTAATACACAGGGGTGAATATGAAAATCAGGGTAATTCTTCCAATTTTCAGGTAGAATATATGCACAATGATTTTACATAGTTTACAAAACACAAGAAATTTTATGCATTAAAATAGTCACAGAATTATCATCAGTTTCCTACCATTTATATTAAGAATCTACATTATATTTGATTTTATGTTTTTTTTTTCTCCTCTAAGGCTTTATGCAATATTCAAGAAAATATGCTCTATACTGATACACGGTCCTCAAATTATTTTGGATGACCACTATTCAGGCATGTTTCTGTAATGTTACATGAAACAGGCTCTTACACATGCTTATGCATCTTTACCCTATGTCATCTAACAACTTGTTTCAAAATTAGGAATAAGGCGAAGGCTGTCACTGTTTGTAGTTATTTCTGTCTCTGAGGTGCTCCTGAAAAGCCTATTATATTTTCTTACACAGGTCCTAGTTTTCTCAAAAACTCACAAATTATTTTTACACCACCCATGTTTTAGAAAAATTGACTTATAAAGAGGTATTACTTTGCTCTAAGTCTTCTATTCCCTTCTTCGACCAATTTTAAAAGGCTTTATTTCAAAAAAAAAAAACAAGTCTGTTTGGAGGTCTATGGCGTGCCACAGGGGACTCAGACCAGTTGGATCCAGTTTGAGCAGTCTCTGCAGCGGGGCCCTGATCCCTGAATTCCTGGGTAGGAAAGGGGCCCCCTATAGGGTTTGACTCCTGCACCTGACTGTGGCACGTCGGATTCCTCCAACTTCCACTGCGGAACTAATTGCACAGCCCCCTCGGGCGGTGCGACCCTGGGGGAATTTCGGACCAGATTCCCTCTCTAGTCTCCAGCTCCAAAAAGGTTATGGAGGAGGAGCCCGAGGAAGCGCCGAAAAAAGGCCTCAAAAGTTATCCTGGTCCCCGAAATAGCGCGGGAAACAAGAGCTCTTCTAAAGAGAGGGGCAGGATAAAATTAGAAGACGTGGAAATCCCTAACGGAGGGAGTAGGGCTCACGGTAATAACCGGTTAGTGCGGCTCCTGCAAGGTCTGGTCGGATCGGGTGTCAGGGACCCTGGACGCACGTCTCAGGACTGTGATAGTTAAGTCCCCAGCCTTCCTTGGGTTCTTGGGGCTGGGGAACACTTTTAAAAGGCCATTTTCCCACCTCACGCGGTGCATCTGAGCCCCGTGGGAGTACAAGCAGACAGAGGTCTGTCTGCGCGTCTTAGCCAGGAAAGCTGGGCTGGCTCGGCGCCCGCTCCGCGCGCTCGCGGAACAAAGCCGCAGGGGGAGCTCTTACCAGCCGGCAGCCAGCGCCGGGCCGCCCAGCCCTGCACGGCGCGCAGGTCGGCTCGCGTCCTCCGCAGCTCCTCCAGCACCGCGCCCAGCGCGCGCCCCGCCTCCTCC